GCACTGAACAATTCTTTTGTGTTGACTGGGACTTTTGGCTGTCAATTTTGGAAATCCAGCTTAACTGACATAAGCCATCAACTGGGATTTATTCACTGGGATTTATTCACTATCCACTATGCCCCAAACTGCACAGGGGCATAGCCTTAGGATGAGTGAACCAGGGCCTCAGACCACATCAGGGATGCTCCCTCAAGCAACTGTCTTTGTGGGACAGAATGATAGATACTGACTTCTCCAGTTTTGCATCCATACATACTTGGAGCCAGAAGAGAAAAAACTCTTCCCCACTAATTCCAGTTATAAAATTTCAGACAAAGCCTTCTATTTACTAGTTTGGTCCCCAGTAGCACCCCCGGCTCTCTCCATGAAGGGGGAACTGGGCACTAGGACTTACCCTGACTGAGTCAAAGTACCTCCTGCTCTCATCTGGGAGTAGTGCACTGCTATTCGGAACCGCCACCAGGATCCCTTCTTGGCTTTATGGTGGGAAAGAAGCAGTGCTCCAAAACAAGAAGATATAATCAAGGGATCCCATACAGACAGCAAAAACAGGCATCAAACAGTTTTTCCAAGTCTGCAAATAGTAACACTCAACATGCTGTTATAATTATGCATTTGGGTGAGCCTCTCTGACTCTAATCTGAGCTCTAGGAGGTCAAGTCCGCCATCTTACTCAAAGCCTGTCGCTAACCCCCAGCAAAATACCTGATGCCAAGTTGGCTCTCTGCTAATGTTTATTTGTTGTTGAAATGATAGAATGGATAGCTCTCCAATGTGAATATAACATCAAGTGAATATGATCACAGAATTCCATAGAGTTGTGAAGTTTAGTTAAATGAATGTTTATAGAACTTCTTTAGTTGACAGGTCATTGAGAGATTCACAACTTAACTAAAACACAAGAATCTTTGAGATAAAGGTAATATTTACTGGGTTCATCCTATTAGTATTTTTCTAAAAAGCCATTTAATTCTTACCCAAATCCCATGAGTTTGTAGGAAACACCCCTATTTTAGAAATTAAGCAGTTGGGAATGCTGGGTGGCTCAATCAGTTAAGCCTCTGCCTTTGACTCAGGTCATGATCCCAGGGTCCTGGGATCGATCCCTGCATTGGGCTCCCTGCTTAGCGGCAGTCTGCTTCCACCTCTCCCTCTGCTTGCCACTCCCTCTGCTTGAACAAATAAAGAAAATCTTAAAAAAAAAAAAAAAGAAAGAAAGAAAGAAAATAAGAAGTTCCTTGCGTTTTCCCATGTTGCAGCAAAGGAGTAGAAACTCAGGTCCTCTGATTCCAAGCCTGTAGCTGCGTTCTTAAGCAGATTATTTAACCTCTCTGAGTAAAATGGGGAGAAAGACACTTACTTCTAAAGATTGTTGTAAGGAAAAAAGAAAAAGATATAAAACGCCAAGTGCAAAGCATGGTCTAGATTAGGGGATAGATAGCTAACAGTTGCTATGTTTGTCAGAGATGGTGGAAGACTTCCTATGATGTCAGACTGGAGTATGTGAGACCAGTTCTATTCTTGTCCCACATTCCAGGTACTCATCGGGCATTTTTCTCCTCTTTAATGCTGCCCACTCTCTCTCTAATAGCTTCTGTCCCATGGGACTGGCCATAGAGAAGGTTACAGGTTCCTGGGCTCCCCCTTCCTTGCTGAAGCCAAGCACCCTGCCTCCCTTTGCTGCCTCAAGCAGCCTACTTCTCCTTCGGGAAAGAGAACTACTGGGAGACAGAAGGATGTTTGGATCCTAGACCTTGTTCCGACATCAATTAGCTGGGTGACATTTGCACCGTTGTTCTTTCAAGTGTAAAATGAGAGTGTTGGAGCAGAGAAATTTCTATATTAAATTGTATTATGCAGAGGAAATCTCAGTAAAAATATTTTCATTGCAGAGTCAAGCAATGCTTTTTTTTTTTTTTAATACTTCTCTATCCACCAAATAAATCCATGCTGGCCTTGCCTAAGTTGAAATCCATTTCTGTAACTTTTAACTCTTTCTTCTTGCTTTACATCTCGGCAGGGGTTCTGTGCCTGCAGCAAGCATCCAGAATCTTCTCCTGAATATAGATTCCAAGAAAAGCTGAAGCACAGAGGGCAGAGAAGAAATGGTGTAATGACATTTCTTTAGGCTCACTGCCTAGACTCACTTGGAGTGCTGCCTTATTCTCATTAGTCCCACCGACTGAATCTGATTAGCCTACCCTGATTTATTTTTGGCGACCTGGGAGCACATGGGCCAATGCTTATATTCATGGCTGATAGGATCATCCCCAAAGCTGTCGTTAGATTTTGGAAGATTAGTCCCTTTCCCTGGAAGATTGCTGTGTCTATGAAGCATCATGACCCATTAGATACGTATCTCTTAAACACTTTGCAAGATGGAGTTTATGTATCCCTCTTTTCATTATCACAAACTTTTTTGTTATTGGCCATTAAAACATAGAGCAAAAAATTCTTAATAATTCTGAACCTGATGTTTGTACAGTTAACTGTTTTCTGGATTAGTGAATCCATTTCTGTAACCAATAATGAATAAAAGCCAGAGTTCAATGTTATTAGATATTGGATGCTTGGTTTAGCTTCTCAGTCTCACCTGGATTGCTGACAATAACAGTGGGTCACATTTTCTGTATGTTTGTTATGTTTTTCAAAAGCACAAAATTTTAGAAACCTACCCATGTATGTGACGATGAGAGACAATGAGGAGAAAAGGACTTTTTTTTAAAGATTTTATTTATTTATTTGACAGACAGAGATCACAAGTAGGCAGAGAGGCAGGCAGAGAGAGAGAGAGAGGGAAGTAGGCTCTCTGCTGAGCAGAGAGCCCGATACGGGGCTTGATCCCAGGACCCTGGAATCATGACCTGAGCTGAAGGCAGAGGCTTCAACCCACTGAGCCACCCAGGTGCCCCAGAAAAGGACATTTTATAAGTCAATCCAGGGGCACCTGGGTGGCTTGGTTGTTAAGCGTCTGCCTTCGGCTCAGGTCATGATCCCAGGGTTCTTGGGATGGAGCCCCATATCAGGCTCCCTGCTTAGCAGGAAGCCTGCTTCTCCCTCTCCCACTCCCCCTGCTTGTATTCCCTTTTTTCACCATGTCTCTATCAAATAAATAAATGAAATCTTTAAATATATATATATATAAAAGTCAGTCCATACTGACTGATCCGTATTATAGAGTTCTGACTAGGACCATCCAGACCACAAAGTACCTGGCATATGCCAGACAGTGGTCCTGGAGCTAGAAGTGCAGCCAGAAATAAGATACAGCCCCTGCCCCTAAAGAACCCAAGGTCTCGTATGGTTAGAATGTCATGAACACAATTAAGTCTATTAAATGTTAACATAGAAATAAATTTCTGTTAGTGGTCGGTATTCTTTTTTTTTTTTTTAAGATTCCATTTATTTGACAGAGAGAGATCACAAGTAGGCAGAGAGGCAGGCAGAGAGAGAGAGAGAGGAGGAAGCAGGATCCCCACTGAGCAGAGAGCCTGATACGGGGCTCGATCCCAGGACCCTGGGATCATGACCTGAGCCGAAGGCAGAGGCTTTAACCCACAGAGCCACCCAGGTGCCCCAATGGTCGGTATTCTTTACAAATACTAGGACCTGTAAGAATTAGTTTTCTAAACGAGTAAATAATAGGAAAAAAAATCAGTACTTTTTTTTTAGGTACACTTAGAGCCTCCTTTCTGATACTGATATGTACTGTAGGCTTGATTTGGCTACTGACTATATGGGCAGTACCATTAGGTTAATTCTAAGAGGCAAATGTCCACATATAATTCTAATGCAATCAGCAATTCCTTCATTCATTTAACAGAGACTTACCAGACTGAGTGTTAGGAAAACAAGTCAAGAGGGGAAGAAAAACAGACATGTGGACATAATGAAGCTCAGTTTCGGTACTTGTGTAGTTCAGTGGTTAAGAGTCCAGACTAGATGTGTGACCTTGAGCAGGCGACTCAATCCTTCTGACCTTCGGTTTCCTTAACTACAAACTGACATTGATAAAAATACCTATCTCATCAGGTCATTTTGCGTATTAAATGAGATGACTGTGTTTACAGACCTACCTAGCTTCGTATCTGGATCCTGGTAAGTCCTAACCAAGTTTTAGCAATTGTTCTGTCCCCCTTTCACAGAAGAGAGATCTGAGGCTCAAAGCAGGGAAATAACTTCCTGGACACCATATACGCCGAGGATGAATTAAAAGCAAAGCAGCAATGATACAAAGTATGTGAGTCTTGTGGGAGACCAGAGAGCAGAAGGACTATTCTGCTGTACAGTATGGGAAAGAATCAGGAAGGGGTATTTAAGCCAACCACACCATGGCTTTTCAAATACTGTCCATAAACATTGATCTAGAACCCTTAGAGCGGTTTTCATTCCCCTGACCGCTGCCTTTTCCAGTTATCCTCAGTCTGGTTCCTTCTTCAAAGATCCTGTTAGTTTCTCTGATTAAAGACTGGCTAACCTCCAGTGAGGAGGATTATCACAGGATTCTCAGTCCTGACTTTTTAAATTATTATTATTTTCAGAACTGACAGGTGAAAAATGAGAGAGGAAATAACTGTTTTGCAACATTCTTCTAGAATTCTCCTAGGATACCACAGCATTACTCCTTCCAGAGTGCTCCATCTGTATAGTTTCTCCAGCAGAGCTGAAATCAAGAATTTCTCTGGAAGTCGAGTGCCAAGATGATTTTCATTCATTTCATTCTTTACTCATTTCCACTCATTTTGTGTTTATTACATGACACAATCCAGGAACTGGGAGCAGCTTTTCAATGGAGAAGAATCAAAAATAAAATCCTGAGTAGATCCGTAGTCGTAAGAGGGTTAAGCTCTCTCTTTCTGCTTTTCTTTGAACACTAAAATACCTGGGTGATGCTTCTCACAAACATTAGTTTTGGAAAAACAAGCTCATCATAATTTTATTGCTCACAATCTCAATGTGACCTTCATTTCCTTTTGTTTTTCTCTTTTCTTAAACAGAATGCCACAACATTCCATGTAACTGTTCAAGATGATAATAGCATCGTTGTGTCTTTAGAAGCCCCAGATGTCACGAGCCCGTCATCTGTGTATGTTGTGAAGATAACTGGGGAATCAAAAAATTACTTCTTCGAATTTGAGGACTTCAACAGCACTTTGCCTCCTCCTGTTACCTTTAAGGCTAATTACCATGGCCTTTATTATATAATCACTCTGGTAGTGGTAAATGGAAATGTGGTTACCAAGCCATCCAGATCAATCACTGTGTTAACAAGTAAGCATCGTTTGTGGTATTGTCCTCTGTGTTTCTTCTTTGGGTGTATTCTCACGGGGCCCTCACTGAAAGAACGTCAGCCCAGGATGGCAAGTCCAATCACCTTGAATTCGAGCGGCATAAATTCAAAGTTCTGCTTTTTGTTGAAAATACGGTTTTATGCCAGCATTTGATAATATTTAACTGTTACCTTCTGTTAAAGAAAAAATCTGTTTCAAACCCAAAAAAGTAAACCTCAATGAGACAATATATTTTCAGGCTGAATTTTAATTTTAGATTCATGATTAGACCATGTAATTTTTTGATATATAACTGAATAATATGATTATAACTAAGCTATTTTTTTCCAGAACACATACTCTTATATTAAGCCATTTGGGTTTTGAGACAAGGAATTTATACTCATATTTAGCTTTCTCAAAATTAATTATACATTTTTAGCTGAGAGAGAGAAAAAGATATTATTTATCGGTTTCTATTCTTGACCTCACCCTCCAAAAAGCCTTGGCTTCCATGCCCAAGAAAAATATCAAAAACCCCTCAAATCATTGGCATTTTAACCTTCAGTAGTTCATGTCTTAAACCATTAATGCTGACATTAAGAATTTTTAGGAGTAATTTTAACTATATGTGATTTTTATTTCTCTCTCTGGAACTTTATCTCAAATTGAGATATAATCTCAATTGAGATTATATTGATCTCAAATTGAGATATAACTTTATCATATCTGTTGATGAATATGTTAGAAGAAGAAATGTTATCTTCTAATAACATTTCAAATCTCAAATTGAGATTAGAAGAAGAAATGTTATCTATAAGATGGCAGAGTTTACCACTAGAGCAATTTAATGGCTCAGTAAAGTTCTTTTTGCTTATTATCCTTCAGTGCTAATTTTCCAGTGGCTGTGATTTTCTTAAATGCCAGCTACTTGAAGTCATTTTTGCCACAAACAAGGAAAAGGACATAGTGATTTTTTTTCCCTTGGGATAAAAGGAAAAAGAAACATCAGGAAGCAAGAACTCAGAATCAAGCTAGAAGACATATTTTTAATATGTCTGTCAAAAATTAATTAATGTTTCCCTTCGCAGAGTCCTAGAATCAGTATTGAATCCTAAAAAATTAGGAGTGGAATGACATAAACCCAAGACCTTCAAGGTTTATAAATACAATGAGCAAATCCAAGACCTAGTAGAATTAAAGGAAGAACCTGCCTTTTCTAAAATACCGTTTTAAACATGTTGCAGAGAGAGGTGAACTGGGCGTTAATAGGTCCAGGTAGCAAATCTAGGTAAACAATGGAGATAATACAATTCCTTGAAATCCAAAACTGTGCCTTACCAACTTCACAATCTCATAGGCACCTAGCATTAACTTTACACTTAATAAGTGTTCAATAAATATTAATTCAATTCAGTTGAGCAAGTAATAGAAGAAAGAACTGGTGTGGGGGTGGGGGGAGACTAAGGCGTAAAGCAAAACAAAAGTGTAGTTATTGTTGTTGACCTAACGTTCATTAGCATGTGCTTAGCCACTCCAGACCAGAAAAAGCTCCAACAGTCAGCCCCTTAGCTGATGATTCATAAAGTCCTTTGACCAGTAAGCTAATGATAAGTAAATGGTAAGTAGGCGCATGATAAGAGATTTCCATTATATCTCCTGGACATTTTAGTGTGCGCAATGAGTTGTATTCAAAATATTTGTTTATTTTCTTTTGTGATTTCTTTTTCAACATGTGGGCTTAGCAAGTGTGCTGCTGAATATCCATCTTGCAATTTTCACAGACCCTTTTATTCATTTCTAGGTAAACTCTGTTGTGATCAGAGAACATACTTTATGTGATTTCAGGTACTTTAAAATTGTTGCAGTTTATTTTATGGCCCCAAATATGGTATGTCTTGGTGTGTATTCTGTGGGCAGCTGTTGGGTGAAATTTTGATGAATTTCAAGTAGGTCAAGTTGGTTGTTCAATCTTCTCTACCCTTACTGATTTTCTGTCTACTTGTTCTGAAAATGGTGGTTAGTGGTATGTGAAAATCTCCAAATATATCTATTGTCTTTTTCTTTTACTTCTTTTAGTTTACTTCTTTTAGTTTGTACTTCTTCTTTTGTACTTCTTTTAGTTTATGCTTTACATATTTGAAATTTACGTGAAGTTTGAAGCTTTTCATCTTTACACTTTTGAGATTATTTTCATGATTTGTTAGTTTCACAAAACACAATGATTTGATATTTGTATATTCTACAAGACAATCACCACAGTAAGTCAAGTTACCATTGTCACCATTCAGTCTCAATTTTTTTTTCTTGCAGTGGAAACACTTAAGATTTATTCTCTTGATGACTTTCAAATATGCAATATGACATTATTGACTACAGTCACCATACTGTACATTACATCCCTATGACTTATTTATTTTATAACTGAAGTTTGTACCCCTCAACCCCCTTCACCCCTTTAGCCCACCCCACCACCTCTCTCTGCTCTGGAAACCACCATTCTGTTCTTTGCTTCTATGAGTTTTTCTTCACTTTGTTTGTTTTTTAGATTCCGCATATAAGTGGGATCATACAGTATCTGTCTATCTCTGTCTAACTTATTTCACTTCACAAAATACCCTTAAGTTCTGTCAAGTTGTTGCAAATGGCAAGATTTGATTCTTTTTTATGGTTGAGTAGTATTCCATTCTTCATAGATATACCACTTCTTCTTTATCCATTCATCCATTGGTGGATGCTCAGGTTGTTGTCATATCTTGGCTATTGTAAATAATGCTGCTATAAACATGTGTGTGTGTGTGTGTGTGTGTGTGTGTGTATATATATATACATATATATATCATATACATCTTTTCAAATTAATTTTTAATTTTTTGAGAAATCTCCATACCGTTTTCCATAGTGGCTATTCTAGTTTACATTCCTACCAAGAATGCATAAGAGTTCCTTTCCTCCACATTCTTACCAATACTTGTTATTTCTTGTCTTTTTGATAATAACCATTTGACAGGTGTGAGGTGATACCCCTTTTGATTTGCATTTCCCTGATGCTTAGTGATGTTGACTATCTTTTCATGTGTTTTTGGGCCATCTGCATGTCTTCTTTGGAAAAATGTCTAGTTAGATTCTCTGATGATAATAATAATAATTAGTAATATAATAGTTAGGGATATATCACTAATTAGTGTCCTTTCTTTTCAGCTTAGAGAGTCCCTTAACATTTCTTGTAAGGCCAGTTTAGCAGTGATGAATTCCTTTAGCTTTTGCTTGTCTGCAAATTTTTTTCTCTTTCAAATCTTAATGATAACCTTGCCAGATAGAATACTTTTGGTTAGAAATTTTTTTCCCTTCAGCTTTGAAAGGAATACTTTGAATGTATTTGCCATCCCCTTCTGGTCTGTAAAGTTTCTGCTGAAAAATATGGTAATATTCTCTTTTTTTTTTTTTTTTTTTTTTTTGAGAGAGAGCGAGAACAAAAACAGGGGAAGAAGCAGGCAGAGGGAGAAGCAGGCTCCCTGCTGAGCAAGAATTCTGATGCGAGAGTAGATCCCAGGACCCTGGGATCATGACCAGAGTGGAAATCAGACACTTGATTGACTGAGCCACCCAGGCTCCCAAATGCTAATATTCTTATGAGATTTCCCTTGCATGTACCTTCTCTTGCTCCTTTTAAGATTCTCTCTTTATCTTTAACTTTTGACATTTTGATCATAATGTGTCTTGAGGGGATCTCTTTCAGTTTTTCTTATTTGGAACTCTCTGGGATAAGTAGCCACTAATTTTTTTTAAAAGGTTGTATTTACTTATCTGACAGAGATCACAAGTAGGCAGAGAGGCAGGCAGAGAGAGAGGAAGGGAAGCAGGCTCCCCGCTGAGCAGAGAGCCTGACGTAGGGCTTGATCCCAGGACCCTGGGATCAGGACCTGAGCTGAAGGCAGAGGCTTTAACCCACTGAGCCACCCAGGTGCCCCAGTAGCCACTAATTTTTAATTTTATTTAATTTTGATTCATTCTACATTTAATTAAAATAACCACAGGTGGCTAACAGCTATTTTATTGGACAGACAGTTCTACGCTGTCATTGAAAATACATCCAGCCTTTATGAATTTATTAAAATCTATCTTCTTTCTTGCTTTAATGGAGCCGCCCTCCTCCTGCCATGCTCTGCCAAAGGTGAAGCAGTTTCTGTTTGCAGGGGGTTTGTCACTCTTGGGTATTTAGTTCATTTGGTTGCCTTGTAATCTCAGATCTCTGCTAGATTCAAGAAAAATCATGATCTCATGATTATTTGGCTTTTTCTTCTTGTTGAGGGCTGAGAGAGTGACATTGACTTGTAAATTTCTACATCCTATGTGGAAGAGGAAATCTGCATTGATTTCTAAAAAGCAAAAACTAACTAATGATGGTTTCTTGTCTCTCCTACTGTATCTCATATTTAAAGACTCAATTACATCATCCTCGATTTTAAAAGAGAAATTAGGTTCAGAATATAAGAATTGGGAATTAAGGCACAAATATTTCTGTGACCTTATGCATGAGGTGACATTTAGTTTCAGCTTCCTCCTTTAAAAAAGAGGGAATTGAAGTACGTGATGACTAAGATTAGTTTTGAGCTCTAAAATCACCACTATTTGTCAGTGAATGATGCATTTTTGCCATCTTTATTTTTATAATGGGAAGCTTTTTTTAAAGTTTAGGAAACATTAATAGTATCTGCTCAAAGAGATGACACATTACTCTTGAGGATAAAAGGGTATATTTGGTGCAGTCATTTCTTGTGTGGTAGATACTTGTCTTGATGAAATAAGCAGTGACAAAGTAATTGGCTCCAAGGCCATCCTTTGATAGTTCTCTATAGCTGTCCTGAGTCTGGTGCTCTTAGAGAATGCTGCAAAACATGGCAAAAAATAAATTCAGCACAAAGAAGACATTTGGCCAGCTCAAAGGAGTTTTGCAACCCTTAAGCTCTGACATCTGATTAATATTTAATTGATTAAGAA